AACAATAACAATATTGTTTCAAAATAGGCTTCTCTGTCAAGACAGTGAAGTCCAGAGTGCAGACACCGTTTGTAAACAACTTGAAATTCACTCGGAACCTTCTGCTTTTAACAAATAAATTTTAAGGATTTAGGAAGACAATTATATCACTTCTGAATCCCGTTAATAGTCAGTTAATACGCCTAATTGTAATTTCATAATATGGCCGCACGGATAAATCGTGGTGCTTGGGTAAAGGTTTCTTTGTTATTCTTTTTAAAAACTTGCATTAAAATATATCGACCTTGGGCTAATTTTGTTAGCATATAATAATATCCTCTTCTACTATGCATTTTATCTTTTTGATCTTTTTATACCCATTTTAGTTTGTGTTCTGCTTAGCACTATGTTGAAATTGTTGATTCCCGTAAAACAAATCATCAAATAAAAGATATAATCAGCCCGAGCAATATATAGTAGGCCTATTATACTACAAATAATGATTTTTTTAAATCGTTGCTCTCTTTAACTTTACCATCCCATAATTCTCCGTTTTTCTTTCATGTCCGATCTATATACATGGCTTAATCGACCAATGATGACTTTAGTTTTCAGAAACACGGACCCTAGTTAAGGATTTACTGGAACGTGTCGGCCGTGTGTGCATTATTGAGTGAACACACTTCCTTAGTACACCCTTATACTCACTGCCATATGTAGCGTAATGGACATCGATCTTACTCTATAAAGGCTATTTTTAGATTTCGCTTCTCTGTTTTGAAATGAAGCATATCATTTATATATAATGTATATATTGACCTATATCATTTATATATATATATAGCCCTTCGTTGAAGGGCTATGCTTGATACGATAATATCATATTCTATTCCCCTCTGAGCAGTTATTATTTATTTATTTGTTTATATATAGGCCTATATACCTATATATATATATATATATATATATATATATATATTATTTATACAGAATAATATACATATAAATATATTACGCCTATTATTAATGTATTGATAATTTTTGTCCAGAGATTATGTATAGGCCTATATAAATATTTGTTCAACTTATATTTATGTATAATAATGTTTATGTCATCGTCATAAGGTTCAAATAGATAGGCCTATATTATGAAATATAATACATGCCTACTTATAAGTACAATAGTAGTAAAATAATAAACATTGTTGATCTAATCTAATCTAATCTAATCTAATCTAATCTAATCATATTTATTTATATAGCGCCTTTCTTTGCAGATACGAAGCGCTTCTGTACCTGGTCATTGGATCCACATGCTAAGTGTTGCTGCTGTATTCAGCGCAGGAGCAAGCAACCCCACCAGGTACCCATTTATACTCCTGGGTGGAGAGAAGCAATGCAGATAAAGTGTCTTGCTCAAGGACTGCTCAAGGACACAAGCGAAATACACAGCGAGGGATTGAAACCCCGCCCTCGAGGTTGGGAAACCAAACCTTTCACGCTGCGCCAATAATAATTATTAAAGCGCCAATATCAAAAATCAAAGGCGCTGTACGTGCTTGTTAAAAGGTATGTTTTAAGTTTGGTCTTGAAAATAGCAAAATAGCAATTCGGCAATGTGTTTAGGTGGGGGAGGGTGTGTGAGCTCCAAAGAGCGGCAGCTGAAACTATAAATGATCTGTGGCCATAGGATTTGTGCTAACTCAAATTTAATGTAATTTAATTATTTTCAAATACTCCACAAAATTCTCAGAGCTACTGTACTCTCTTTAATTTTTATTTACAAACCCATAATACACTGAGAATAATTCTATCCTAATTTATCCCATAATAAACTAATTCTAGGGAAGAAAATAAAAAATACAGTTTGTTTATTTAACTTTCCACTTATTTCAACTGTGTAATTGCCTGTGATCGGCTCATTTACGGCGCAAACAAAAACTGGCGATTGAAGTTACAGATTGTGTTTGTTTTTATAGGATCCAAGTGCGTCTTTGTGTAGTCGGGCTCAGTGCTGAGGAGGTTGGAAAGGTGATTGCTCCGTCATTCATTACCATTTATAGGCCTAGACATTATATTGTAGGTCTATATATCTCTGTCTAAGAAGATATCGGTCCCACGAAAGGCGGAAAGAAAGTAACATGATCATGCGCCTCGAATTAAAACTTTATACAATGTGTTTACTATACCGGCTAGAATTCGAATATGCATAATCTTGATTAGGGTGACCAAACTGCGAGCTTTTGGTTAACCATCATTTATATTGTATTATTATATTCAGTTATCTCATTGGTGAATAAACTTGGAATTGAAAACTTGAACTTGTTAGGGTTGGAGTGCGCCCACATTAATCATCACACAAATGTTGTGTAAACGAATAGGAGTTAATTGTTTATTCACAATAACAAGTGATATACTTAATGTAAGACGCACCTCATTTTGAATTACCTCGTTTTTAATTGGCTAGTTATAACTTTGATTTTAATCTGATTGGTCGGTTTTTATTTGCTTTCTGTTATGCTTCTGTAAATATTGTAAACATAGTATGGATGGATGAGATTTTCTCATCAGTATTCTTGAAAATGATCAAAAAGATCGAAACGTTGAATTTTAAAATGTCTCTGTCTTCGTTTTATTTAAGGCTACATATCTACCCCCTACTTTCTTAATTTAAAAGCGTAAATTTCATTCTAGAAGGGTACCTACAGTGATCACTCCGGTTTCACTCTTTTTCGAGTGACGATTCATTCTTAAATGTGTGAATTTCATTCTTAAAATAGTGAAAATTAGTAAAGTTCTCCCTTTCCACTCTATCTATTTCGTTCAATTAGAGTGACCGTAACACACTTTCACACTTCTTCATTTATAAAGTAGGCCTATACTTTATTGTAATCTACTGTACCACCGATTCTCTATTCTTTCAATAATGTATAAGGTGTCTCTGTGGTTTTTTTTTTATTATTCAATAATAGTTCAGGAGACCATCCGTTCACAGAACAAAAAGATTTGTATTCACATTGAGTATTTAAAGGGTAAAATATGCATATTACTGTTATTCTAAAGGCCTTATATTGTATAGGCCTTCCCGATAGGCCTTATAATATACGGTAACTAAGGAGATCAATGATAATGATATAACTTACGTTTACATCATAGATTTTGATTATAGTATCCACCGAGATTCAATTATCTTTTCCCACAGAATATTTGTTTTCCAATATTGTGATGGTAAGTGTATAATCATCTATTATCACACGTGAAGGTGTGTCTTCATACCAAAGCTGCTATTCTATTAATCTAGTTACGGTAACATAATTCTGAATTGGTTCGTGATAAAATCGGCGTCTACATGAAAACTGTTTGCTATTCGAGATTTGTAGGTAGGCCTATGTTTTCTGAATCGATCTTCCATTCTTCCTTCCGTTCCTCCGTAATAAAATCTTCTCACATTTACAAATAATGGCATCAATAAAGACCTGTCCGCACTGTTGTATGCCCATATATAGTCATGATGTGCCTATTTTTGGTCATGATGTGATGTCATCATGACTATATTTAGGCATGTCACATGTTTTTGTAAAATAAAATTTGATAGTCTGGGCAGAGGGCTCAAGATTATCAATGTGTTTGAAAAATTGTCCGAAACTGTCAGCTGTTCACAGATAGAAGGCCTACAGTAGTTATAAAATGGTTTACTTTGAATAGTCAACATTTGTACATTAACTAAGATTAGAACCGCTTTAAGGCCTGTTTATACTTAACGATAACGATAACGATAAAAAAGGTAAAAAGCGATTGTTCATATAAAAAACAAAAGAAATATGAGAAATTTTCACACTAGGACGATTCGATAACGATTTATCGTGTATACGATAACAAAATATTTCAACAAATCAAGTCGGATGACGTCATAATCATGGAAAAACGATAAAACAGTTGCTACTACTACGATTTTAATGTTTCCATGATTATGACGTCATCTGATTTGATTTGTCGAAATATGTTGTTATCGCATAACTGATAAATTGTTCGTTGTAGTGTAAAAAAAATCTCTTATTTCTTTTATTTTCTATATGAACAATAGCTTTTTAGCTTTTTTATCCTTATCGTTATCGTTGAAGTATAAACAGGCCTTTATCCTCGGTGTTTTTGTCTCTTCAGATGTACCGTGGCAAGTAGTGGATAGTTAGATTTGTGGCAAGACTTGTTTTTAATTCTTCAACGAAAATGGACCTTTTTAATTGAAAAAAAGAAGGTTGGATTCGAACGTGCTACCACCGCTTCGTTGTGAACTTGATACGAATAACTTCGCATGTTCCTATTTTTGAGCGCTGTTATTAATATTTATCTATAATCTTATATTGTATATTTAAATCTTTGTTTATACAGCAGGCCTATGATATATTAATATAAAGCATATAGGTGAATGCTTTAAGTGTATATATTTACATTATATTACTTTTCATAGTAATAACGTGTTCATTACCGGTACAGTACGGTATATCCTATTAAATAGATCGTTACATTTTATTTTATTACAATATTTAGTCATCCTATGTAAAATAATATAATATTTCTTTGTTTATGATATATTGTGTTTTAAATAAACCCTACTCTATACTCATTTCAGAGTCATTTGTATACGTCTGATGTTCCTTAATTCAAAATGATTATATGGTGATCATCTCCTACATGAGCTAATCACGGACGGTTCCCATAGCTCTCTTCTCTATTGCCAACACCATTACATTCAGCTATTCAATTCATTATCAGGATCAAATTGATTTCATTTTTTATAAATAGTGATATATGACCTAATTAAAGTTGATGCACAATTACTCATTCCAGTAATATAATTTTTGAATACTGAGCATATACACATCTGCTAATAATACTTCTGCGCCTCCTCCTCCTTCTTTATATACGTATATATGCCTATATAATATATATAGGCATATATATAGGCCTATGAATACGTTATATATTATTACTATGAAAAGTAAATTAATGTATAATACATACATAAATATATACACTTAAAGCATTGACCTATAGGCTTATACATTATTATATATTAGGCCTACTCTATAA